TTTTTTTTTTTTTTTTTTTTTTTTTTTTGGTACCGGGGTTCAAACTCGAGTCCTTGCACTTGTGAGGCAGGCGGCAGCACCACTGAGCTAAATCCCCAGCCCTGATCTTTTCATCTTTTAGAAAGCCAAATAAGAATTTTTTTCTTTTAATTTATGCAGTGACTCTTTGTTAGTCATTACTGTGATGGTCATTTTTCCTGAAGGAAGAAGATCTTAAATTTGGGATTCCCAAGTCATGCGGAGTGCTTGGGGAAGCTATAGAATTCCACTTCCCTCCTGCAGATCAGGTGGACCTAGGACCTTGACTTTTGATGTTTAAGTAGTATCACAAGTGCTCAGGATCCAGCGGTCTGCAGAATACACTGGTTTACACTTAGTACACTTTGGGACCTGGAGGAGGCTGAAATAAATGTCCAGCAGATTTTATTTTATTTAAAATTTTTTTTTCAGTGCTGAGGATCACACTCAAGGCCTCTCCTAGGCAACATAAGTGCTGTACCCCTGAGCAACATTCCCAACCCCCAGCAGTCTTTGAATGCAGCAGATCTACAGTAAAGTCAAACCAATATGGAAAAGTGGCATCAGTGCAAGTGGATTTTATTTATTTACCTAATAATTTGTGGTTTAGAAAGCAGGTTACTTGAAAATACCTGACTCTTTGGTCTTTTTCTTTTTAATTTTTACAGTTCCAGTTATCTATTTTTTTTTTTCTTAACATTACTTCACTTCTAGGTTTTTTTTTTTTTGGTACCGGCGATTGAACTTGGGTCCTTGCCCTTGCAAGGCAGGCCACCGAACCTCTAGGTTTTTTTTGAGACAGAGCCTCACTGTGTATCCCAGGCTATCCTGGAATGCATGGCAGTCCTCCTGCCTCAACCTCCCAAGTGCTGGGATTACAGGCGTGCACCACCATGTCTGGCTTCACTTCTAAATTTTTATTCTAGGTCCATTCATTTATAAGTGAATGGCCATTGATTAAGACAATAATGAAATGCATATTATGCAGGGTCCTCCAGAGAAGCAGAACCAATAGGAGATAGATAGATAGATAGATAGATAGATAGATAGAGGATGACAGATGGATAGGTAGTGCATATTATGCAGGGTCCTCCAGAGAAGCAGAACCAATAGGAGATAGATAGATAGATAGATAGAGGATGACAGATGGATAGGTACATAGGTGATAGATATTTAGATGGATATATGGATAGATGGGTGGATGGGTGGATGGATGAATAGACTGATTGGAAGATAGATGGACGATAGATGGGTAGATAGATGTGTAGGTGGTTAAATGAATGAATGGATGGATGAATGGATGGAGAGATAGATAAGCAGGCAGAAAGGTAGATAGGTGAGGTATATTAATGGGATTGGTTCATGTGATTATGCAGACAGAGAAATCCCACAACATCCATGTGGAAACTGGAGAGCTTGGGATGCCAGCAGCGTGGCTCGTGTCCAGGCCTAAGGTCAGAGAAGGAAAAGGTGAACTCTTAGTCTGAGGGCCTGAGGACCCAGATTTCTGCTAGTGTACGTCCTGGAGTCCAAAGGCCCAGAAACCTGGTTCTGATGTCCGAAGGCAGGAGAGGAGGGGTGTATCCCAGCTCAGGAGACGGCTCTCTGAATGGTGCCCATGCCCTGCTCCCCACAGGGTGGATTTTCCCCAGTCCCCTTGGACCACAGGCTGTTCTCCTCTGGAAACATAGATTTGTGCCACAATAATACATATTTTAACCCAGTCAAGCTGAACCTAATGTTAGCTGCCACAGAATATAGTTTTTAGTGTTATTTAGATTGATGATAAAATGAAAGAGGATAATCATATATCCCTACCTATATCTTGGATTTGTCTCATTTCAAGCACTTTAATTTTTATTTGTTATTTTATTTTTTTATTTTTGAGACAGGGTCTCACTATGTAGGTGAGACTGACCTGGAACTCACTATGTAGCCCAGGCTGGTCTGAACTCACAGTGATCCTCCCACCTCAGCCTCCCGAGTGCTGGGATTGCAGGCATGTGCCACCTGGCTCTCATTCTTTTTTTTTTTTTTTTTTTTTTTTTTTTTTTTTTTTTGCTACCAGGGATTGAACTTGGGTCCTTGTGCTTGCAAGGCAGGCACTGGAGCCACTGAGCTAAATCCCCGGCTTTATTTGTTATTTTAATTATAAAGGCATTATCTGAATATAAGCTTATTGTAGATAATTCAATTACATATAGTCCTATAGGGTAAAAGAAATGTAACGATTATATCATAATTACATTTATCATATTTAAAACATTTTTCTCCTTGATTAATAATTAGCTTGGTTTCTGTTTATTTGCTGCCTCAAACAATGCAGCAGTAAACATATTCATTCCCCTTTCTTTGGTTAGATAGCCAGTATTTCAGAGTACCCTTTCCTTGATGTAGAATTCTGAGGTCAAAGATTTTTATGCATTATAATTTTTCCAAAACACCTCAAATTGCCTCAGACAGTAGAGTCGGTTTATAGCCCCAGTCACCGTTTATGGAGTAATCCGTGTTAGGATAAACTTGTGGTGGAGGACCATCAAAGATTATGAATGGTGCCTTGTAGTATTGCAATGGCATGTTGAGTGGTAAACTATGCAGCTGATGAGGAAAACATGAAAAAATTTATGTTCAAGAGATCCTTGCTGCTGATCG